ACAACAATAAATACAACAACTCAGGCAGCAACAACAACAACTGCTGCCATTGCAATGACAACAGTGCAACCAGAGCCAGTCACTGAACACGCGGCCCCGGAGCAGTCTCACAGCTTGCTCAACCCGAAGTCTACCATATCGAGGCTCGTTGAAGAAAGCCAGGAGATGAACCTCGAGTCCCTGTCGTCCATTGGGGCTGTGGCCGGCTACATGACCACGGAGCAAACCGCCATGATCGCCGAGGAGGCCGAGTCCTACGGCAGCGAGCAGACGACCAATGTGCCACTGATGGACTTCAATACCAGTGGCGCGTTCTCATTGGACGCAATGGCATCGGGCACGGAGTCGTCGCTCGTGGAGCAGAGCACATTTATGGAAAGCATGTCCGCTCGGGTCGAGTCGACTACCGAAATGGATACGATGCGATTCATGACCACACAGCCACCAGAGGCCGACTACGAGCCCCATGCGGAGGTGATCACTGAAGCCAGCCACAGCAACAGCACCACGGAGCGCAACATAATGCATCTGCTGAGCCGCCTGAGCCTGAACACGATTACCCAAAGTCCTGGCTCTGAGCCAGAGGCAAAGTTCATCACCACTGAGGAGTCCGTCATGCAGACGACGTCCACTACGGCCAGCGTTGATGTAGGGAGCACCACTGAGCCAGGCACCGAAAACACACTTGCACCACCCAAGCAACAGAGCCTGTTCCAGGCTGTGCCTATGCAGGGGACCACAGAAGCTGCTGCAGCAAGCTCAACAGATGCACCACTGACTAGCAGCACAACCAGCACCACCACCACCAAGCCAACCACCGAGCTGATAACTAAGGCAACGCGTGCACCGCGCATCGAACGCATCTTCAACTCGGATGGCGTTGAGGTGCTCTATGGCTATTCATCGGTGAATCGCTCCTAAACGCGCACCACACATACAAATCACCAAAAATGACCTTGTCAAGGTCAGCTTGTCATACAACATCACAGCAACAACAACAACAACTCACACAACAAAATCGACAGAAAATGACATTTTCGTGCTGGATTTTTCCAAATTCTAAACGAGCGAAATATTTAAATCTATTGTGATAAACGATAAGAAAGACAAGTCGACGGAGGAGAAGAAGAAGAAGAAGTAGGAAAACAAAATAAAAAACAAAAATAGAAATAATATTGTGCAAATTATTGTGTGGCTAAAAAAATAAAATCGATTTTATAATTTATAAATAAAACATGAATTACAATAAAACATTTCATTTTGTGTTTGCCTTAGAGTTTGCGCAAAGAAACAACAGAGACAGCCGGGAGTGTCAACTGGCAGATACCCTGCATAGATTTACAGATAGAAGCACTTGAATCTCGATCGTGCAATTCTCTCTTTAAGTCGGTTTCAATTAAATTTGTACAAGATTAAAAAATGTATCTGAAAATCTGAACTTTTGTTACTCTGCGTAACATAAAAAATATAATATAAAAAATATAAATATCGTGATTCACTTTGGTAACTCTCATAATCTGAAATCTTGCTTAATATATCAATCTATATTTAGCATTGCTTTAGGTACTTACAAATTTGATGCATTATTAATTCACATCATACCCTCTCTTAGCAGCTGCAGGGTATTTCAAATATGGCATTCGTATTTGATCCACAAATGGGTTTGGTATTGCATTTGCATTTGTGATCGTAAATAAACAAAAAAGAATGGCATCATATAATCGAGAGAATCGGCTGAGGTGGAAGCTTAAATACGCTGCATAGCTCACGAGGCAGGGGAAGACGTAGAGGTGTGGCAACCGGTATGTGTCACTGCAGATATTGAACTCGCTAACTTGTTTTATTACCTAACTAAAGAAAAGCATTTTTAAAAAAATATTTAGTTGTAAATTCAAGTATGAATTTTAGGCATACGATGATAAGATTATTTTGAAATTTGATTTCAATTTATGGGTTACAGTGCATTCGGCGAGGTAAACACGGAAGAGTGAGTAAACATGGAAGATCCAACAGATGTTCACTTGACAAATTAACCAACTGGCTTCACACATTTTGAGTCATAATTAAAAACACTATAATTATTTAGTATCATTTTGCTAGCTATCTGAGACATAGCTGAAAATTATAATAAAGATGTCTGGAATACTACTTAAAACATATACTGATATATATCAACATTAAATTAAATACTGTAAATACTATATAGTTAAGCTCCTCTAACTCGTAGACAAATACAGGGTTTCTAGTCGCAGAAAGACTAAATAAATTAATAAATATATCCAAGTATTTATTTTTAAATATCTTACATTGCCTAGCCCCTCTAACACATAGCCATATACAGGGTATCTAATAGCAGCACTGCCATGAACTGCAGCAGCTTAGCAAACTCATTTTGGGCACTGCTCTCAGTCAACCCACCAGCGAAACTGTATGCTGCCCACCTGTGTTGAAAAACCGGCATTAGCCAAAGTAATCGTCATACATTTTTGGGCTCTAATGTTCCGGCATGAACAGACGCAGACGCAGACGCAGACGCAGATGCCAATTGGGGCCCTGTTGCAGACACGTGGATGGAGACTGGTCTATGAAATCGAAGCTGCAAATCTGGTTTGACAACGCACATTCATTCATCGTTGTCGCCGATGTATATATATAAATCGATCTCTATATATATATACAATAATTTTGATAAACATACGAACTATATACTTGTACTTGATTAGTTGATTTAGGGCTTTTTGGTTTAGCAATGATTATCACGTTTCCATTCGAAAGAGTGGGCAATAAAATAAATACGCACATCGAGCTCATTTCCATTCGAACTTGAGACAGGCGCTAAAATGCATGTTGAGTGCGGGCTATGTAGCTGATAAAGAAGAAGAAGAAGACGTGATTGAAGGCTTTCAGCAAAGCGGGTTTTTCTCCCTCTCTCCCTCTCTCTCTCTCCCACTCTCAATATCAGCTGACTAATCGAACCATTTAAATTGATACACATAAACTCGGGCTATTATTAATCAGTTAAGAATGTGAACTGAGCGAATAAATAAGAGAAAAATATATATATGGAATAAATATATATGTGAAATAAAGTTAAGAGAATTCGTTGAAAAAACGTTTTGTCTCGTAAATTTAAAACACTCTTTATCACTTTAATTAAGAGAAGTTTTCTAGTTGGCTTTTATTATATGCATATTGTTTTTTGTATGGCTCTCTTTATCTCAATCTCCTTATTACCCTCTCTCTCTCTTTCTTGCAGCCGTCCCCTCCTTGACCTTGATAAAGGATTATTGCTGTAAGCTATTTAAATGAGAAAACATATTTACAGTAATATTTCAGCTATAGAATAAAGTTAATTTAAATTGCAATAATTGTAAAAATAATAAATAATTATAAAAGAAAATAAACATAAAAATGTCAATAAATAACAAAAAGCATTTTTTATAACATTAGATATATCTGATACTTTGATACCCATACTCTTCTATGGCTGCATTTTAAAGCTTTCTAAGATTTTTAACAATTTTTACAGCACCCAAAAGTCGGCTTCACCACAACAGAATAGAATAACGCATTAGGTCGCATAGATATTCGAAAGTATTACCAATTAGCATTCAGACCTGTACACGCAAATTTTAATCTATTTATATATTAAAACACATTTCATCCTTGTATCACATCGTCTTCTTTATATTACATTAAACGTGCCTAGGAACCAGGCATCCAATTCATCCGCTCGGCGCTGGCTATATAAAGCGACGGGTGATCTTCATTTTGCCAATAATTATCTCAACGATGAAGCTCTTCATGCTGTTCGCTCTTCTGCTGATTGCACTGGTGGCTGTTCAGGCAAGATCAGTCCCGCAGCGCATTCCCGCTCCGCAGCTACCGTTAGACATAGGCTACTGGGAGCACAATGGAGGCGTCAGAAAAGGAATGGGCGCAAGCAGTAACGAAGACAGTAGCGATCAATCCAATGAATCTGCTGAAGCGTGAGCCAATGGCAGCTGTCGAGAAGGTTAACGTACGGCAGCACTTTGAACGGAACACGTATTGAGATAAAAAATAAAAGTTTTACAATTTTGGAATAAAACTAATAGTTTACTCTAAAATTGATATTTCTTACTTATCTAGAACAAATTAAACTCAACTAGCAAGAAAGCTCATGACTGGGGCTCCCAAATTCTGTAAGATCTGCGTTCTGCGATCTGCGCCAATATTGAATTGAATTGATTTAAGCTAACAACTTTGCATTTTCCCAGTCGAATAAATAATATAAATAGAATATATACAAATATCAGTTTACCTGGACTCAAACCAATATCTACGTAATCCTCAAAACGAAGCACCTCTATCAATAATGCCAACTCATGTCTCTACAAAAAATTTCACTAAACTAAAAACAGAAAGTCATCCAGGATGTCTCAAACACTATTTCACTAATAATGCAGCTGATAATTCAAGCACAAATCAACATATGCACATATCTACATATATCTAATTATTCTATTTAGCTGGTGATAAGCATTTCATTTATTATTCCAGTGTGACCAGTCAGCCAATCGACCATAGCTGTTGCTCTGTTTCTTTTACTCCTTCACTCACTTTCTCTTTTTTCTCTCTCTCTCTCTCTCTCTCTCTCTCTCTCTCTCTCTCTCTCTTTATAATACTTTTATGTTTCTTCTTTAAGCTTCGGCAGGCTTTCAACAATTTCGATTGCACCCAAAAGTCGACTTGAATAAATTGAACTGGAACGACAGAGGTAACAGAAACATTGAGCTTTTAGCAGTTAGACCTTGCTTTTAATAATTGTCATAGCGCTAAACGTCATTGTGTATACGGTACGGTATATACTCTATATACTAACGCATATATATACATATATATATATTTTTTTTCTCCAATAATTGTTTTAATTAGTTCAGTCGTTAAACGTGTCACGAAACCAGTCATCCGATTTATTCTCTCGTCGCTGGCTATATAAAGCGACAGGTGATCTTGCATTTGTCAATAATTATCACAACGATGAAGTTCTTCATGCTTTTCGCTCTTCTGCTGATTGCACTGGTGGCAGTTCAGGCAGCACCACAGCCCGGTAGATCCAGCGCCACAGCAAACGCAAGTGCCAGCGCCGTATCCAAGGGCCGAGGTAAGGCCGACGCTAACGCCAATGCATCTGCCAGTGCATCTTCCGGTGGCGGCCGTCGAAGGGGTTAATCAGCATCTTTCAACGGAACACGCATCATAACAAAGAAAATATCTATAGACGGTTTGATGACAAAAGGGAAAAAACATCTAACGATTTAAAGTACATATCATTCATTTGTTATACCTTTTTCTTATAAATAAATAAACATTGGAAACTTTAATATGAACAATCTAAAGAAAATATTAAATAAAAAAATTATTAAATAAATTTGTATATTTTATATAATTATATATGTATATCTCCAATTTTATATAATTATATATGTATATCTCCAAACATATTTAAAAAAATATTCTTATATATTGTATATGTATATATATTGATCCGTATTTATGTATATTGAAAAATAAATCATTTATGCATTTCTCCATATATTAATGGGCAGAAACTTATATATTTCAATAACAAATAAATCTCGTTCTGGAATATGCTTTAAGCTCTAATTTCTGATATTACAATAGTCAGATAAGTCAAGGTATTTTCTTTATATATACTCAAAGGACTTTCATTAATAAATATGTCAAAGACTTAATTGTTTTAAAACGGCATAGAAAAATCTAACCTAAATTATATAATGATATTTGTATCTCATCTTATTATAATTGACATAATTTCAGCTCATTGAAATCCTGTTCCATTTCGACTGACGCAATTGTCTCTAATATGTCATAAGACTGTGTTTTTAGGAGGATTTCCATTATTTTTGTACCTTAAACTTCTAACACCTGAAACTTTTACGAGACAATAGCGTTAATTCAAAATATTGCATTTATTCTGGAAGTATGGCCAGTCAGTCAGTCGATTGACAATTTTTCGCAATCAGTCACTGGAATCGGGAGTACACGACTGTAAGATCTTTTGCAACCAAAGAATGCATTTTACAATTAGTCTGTCGTTTGTATGTACTTAATCCACATATCTGCTTAATATCCTCTGCTTATTTCATTCCGAAAAAGTGTAGCAGAACCAATATACCCCTCTCATTTAGAATATTGGAGAGTATAATAAACTGCGAGGTAGCCAAAAACAGATTTGCATTTCTGCAGATCAGTTGCCGTAGGCACAACCCGTTTTGTTGATTAGATTTGCTTAAGCAATTTGCATAATATTTATAAATAATGGGCGCGTTCAACATGTCAATAAACAATGTTATTAACTCCTATTGCTTTGTCGACAGTTGGATTTAAAAATAATATACAAATTCTAAGAGAAAAATGTCTAAATTGTATAGAAGAAGATCAAAATACGTCGAAATTTATATTAAGTTAGTTGGTATCCTTTACATCGAAACCTCTATTCAATCAACTGATCTCCGTTAGGAAAAGGCAAAACTCTATCTTACTTATTCAGTTCTTAAGGATATTCACATTTAACTACTTATTTGTCAAAGTGTATTGTATTTTTGTCTGCTGCATATCTAATTAAATCGTTTGCAGCTCTGTGAATTAGCATCAATATAATTATTTTATTTTAACTTGTTTCAAAAATATCTCAAAATGTAAAATATCTCAAAATGTCGATGGAGTACGAACGACTGCAGAATACTCGTTCACGTTCCAAGAACAGTTAAATATAGATTATTGATTGTTCTGCCATTGGGTTGGTAAATATAAAGGTTATTAAATTTAGAGACCCTAACTCTAAAACTTTTACTAAATATGTATATAAGTATAGTTTGAGTTTATCCACATGATATACAAATATAAATATATTTATCATGAGGATAACAACCATTAAATATTCCATATTAGCAGATGTCTTACGTCATTTTGCATTGCATTCATATTGACGTATATAATTTCCCAAAAGAGGTTCAAATGCACATCTATGTCAAAGAATGAATAGTCATGAAATATATTGCCGAAAAATAGTATAAAACATATGTGTGGTTTAAAAAGCTAAAATGCTAAAAGTCTTCTTGTTTGTGTTGCCGTAACGCCTTCGGTTTGGCAATGCTTTGTTAGCCAGCCAGTTTGAAGAATGGAGCATAGATATCCGCCAGAATTAAAGGAGCATTGGACAGGAATCAGTCTGTTGAATTAAGGTCAATCCAATTTGTAGAAACTTAGGGCTCTTGAGAATTGAGCCAATGATTTCGATCATTGCACTGCCATTTTATCTGTTCCTGTTTCTCCTCTCCGTTGGTGGTCTTTGGGTTCTTGCTTGTTTTGCTTGCCTTGCTCTGGTGTCTTTTGTTTGCTTTTGTGGTGAGTTAGCTGGTTTCGCTGACTTTTTAGCTGGTGGTGGTGGTTGCTTCGCCTGTTTTGCTGACTTTTTGCGTTCATCTGCCCTTTGGTTGCTTTTGGCCTGCTTGCCTTTGGCCTCGTTGCTTTTGGCCTGGTTGCTTTTGGCCTGGTTACTCTTGGCCTGGTTGCTCTTGGCCTGATTGCTCTTGGCCTGATTGCTGGAGCTACCTTTTTGAACGGTCGAGGAGCTGCCTCCCCCATTATCCATACGATTTTGAAAATATATGACAGCGAACACAACCAAGAAGAAGGCGATCACAATACAAAGTCGCATGGTAAAACTTTACAAAAGTGTTAAATTTGCGTGTATAAATACATATACATATAATATATATATTCTATTAAAATGTTAACAAATAAATATATTCTATGGAAACTTAAAATTTTGTTGAATTTTTAGGTGTTTCATAACTGAACAAATGATGCTTAAAGTCTGAAACATTTTCCCTGATGTAAACGTGATGTGAATTAAATCACAAGGGTTATTTGATTCGGACTTTCGAACAAACTTTGTGGAACGAATGAATGGATTGATAATATCTGTATGCCAATGAGATTTTGATGAGATCTCAGAACATCATTTGCATAATGTCAGCTAATTTGGCATAGTGTAAGGTCACATAATTATATAACAAATATAAAAAAATAAAAAAAACAAACAAAAGAAAAAAAAAAACAACAGACAAATTGTTTTTTTCAAATTTTAATATCATTTAATTGATCCCAAGCATATGAATTTCAAATATAAATTGTATTATTTAACAGCACCATCATTGGACGAGCAACCGAGCTGTCGATACAGAGAGCACCATGAAAATTGATCCAGCGAAATGAGTCGGTGGCCCTTGAAAGCATTGAGCAAAAACATTGCTCAATGCACTTGCAACATTCCTCCTTCTCCTCCTCCTCGTCGTCTTCGTCTTCGTCTTTTCTTTCTTCTTTTTACTTGTTTCTTGTTTCCGCGGCTCTACGAATTTCCTGTGCTCAGGGATATGCTCGTCCAGAAGCAATGCTGTCTCATTGCGACTGAAAGTGCCCACAATGGCAGTCTCATCGGCATTACACCCTTGCCAGTAAACGAACAGGAGCAAGGTAAAAAAAACGCTGATTAAAATCAATTTATTCATCGCACCCTTTTCTTTATCACTAAAGTACACAAGACTTAATGATTTGCCTACACCATATCTTGGTCTAAAACAATTTGCACACTTTTCTTATCTTCTATTGGGCAGTGGCAAAATTGCAAACATTTTTAAAGCTACGAAAATTTTGATCTTTTTTATGTTGTTTTCTTTTTTTTTTGGAATTTTTATTTGATGTGTCTGGTGAAAAACCAAAATTCTCTGAGCATTTATGAATAAATCATAGCAATTTGTAAATTATGTGACATGTGGCGCAGTGCATCTTAGATCAATATACAAGGCGATGCTTCTAGTAAAGGTTGAGATAAGATTGGAGATATCTCTAAAAAAGAATGAAGTCATATTTTCTTTACGTCTCAAAATATAAACATCACATTATATAGAAAGAAAGCTTGATGCAAACAAAATTCACATCATATTGCTAATCATATTAAGAAAATAACAAATTAAATAACAATAAAATAACCCGAGAATCGAATGGAATCATTCTGTTCTTGGGCTCGAAATAAGGATAATAGCAATTTCTTTTTGTCATGTATATTTATTTTATAAATATAAATAAGCTAAATCACTTTAAAAATCTGTTCAATTCGGCACGGCTCTGAAGATGTCCTTTCGTTGAAGCTCAACCTCGGGCATTGGCAGAGGAGCTGGATGAGGCATTGGCGAGACCACCGCCCTTGGCCGAGGCGTTGGAGGAGGAGGAAGCATTGGCATTGCCGCCGAAACGACCGTTGGAATTGGCATTGGCTGAAGAGGTGGCACTGGCACTGGCACCACCGCCACCACCGAAGCGACCACCGCCGCCATTGGATGTGGCACTTGCATCAGCATTGGCATTCGCACTGGAGCTACCGCCACCAGGACCTCCAAAACCACCTGGTCCACCGAAGCCGCCTGGACGGCCTGCACCGCCTGGACCTCCAAAACCGCCTGGACCTCCGAAACCGCCAGGACGGCCGGGACCGCCGGGACCACCGAAACCACCTGGACCACCGAAGCCGCCTGGACCACCTGGACCGCCTGGACGGCCGCCAAAGCCACCAGGTCCACCGAAACCACCGGGACCACCTGGTCCACCGAAGCCGCCTGGACCTTTGCCAAAGCCTGGCCCGCCCTGCGACTGGGCGCTGGCATCGGCACTGGCACTAGCACCGCTTCCTTGGCGCTGTGGAGCAGCTGCCACCACGGCCAGAATAATACTAAGCACAACGAATATCCTCATGTTGCTGCTTGTCCGAACTGTTCGAAATCAGCTAACAAACTTAATGCTTTGTGTCGAGCGTCTCGCTTTTATAACACTAAACGATGGATGATCTAGCTGCGCTAGACGACGATATCAATTAGCATAGTTACATACAGACGAAAATCAGAAAAGTAGACAAAACAGCTAAGCGCCTAAATTATGATGGAATTAACTGCCGCGAACAGATTCGAGCTCATCAAATTGAATTGTGCGGCGGAGGAAAGTGTGCGAATCTCTTTTGGCAAATGGATATTGAATATCTGAGTTTCTCTCAAACCGGTTAGGGACTGTCTATATATATTTTACGATCTTTAATGTTTTTTTTTTTTTTTTTGTTTTTTTTCAGCTTGACTTGCAAGTATACTTAGCTTCGGTACTTTTCTTTATTTAAGCTCTAAATGTTTGACAGAAGAGAATTATAATAATGCCTTAGTAAAAATTCACACATATATGATATTTGTATAAGTGATCTTTAATGATTTCATATTTCTGTTACGACTAAGCCGATTCACCGGTTTTTCCTGTAATCTTTTGGTCATAGAAACAGTTTGTTTGCGTAGACAGAGCCCTTCCGGTATTTTGAGCAGGCAAACATATATTCAAATTTGTAACTTATTTCATAAATGAAAAATATGCAAAAGGCTACTGCCCATTTATATGCTAAAACCCTGATAGTTGGCGTACGTTGTAAGAGTTATATCACTAACTGGACTTTTGGTGTGATAACAGAGGCCATAAAAGGTTTTAGAGTTGATTTCACCGCAATATGATCAATGTTCAGGAAGCACACGAATCTTGAATCTAACCTGAGTTCCGACTTGCCAAACAAATAAAAGTGTTCTTATCGAGCATGCTTGACTAGAAGATACCCAGCTTGTTGGGGTATACATATAATTATATATTATGTATATAAATAGTATAGGGTTATCAGATCTATATATAATTCTAAGAACATAAATATGACTTTCAAATTCAAACCTCAAGGCCAAACATATAAAACATTGAGACGGTTCAGTCAAGGCTCTCTGCTTGTTGGCGCTGATAAGAAATTTGAGTGTAGCTTTTGTGAATTAATTGAATTAAAATAATCTTTCATTCAATGTATATTTACACCCCATTCGCTTAGTCTTCAAATAATACTATCTGCTCAGATTTCACATAATTCATTACGAATAATAATTATAATAATTATAATAAAAAAAAAAAAACAATATTAATATTCATCTGTCTGTTACATACGTTAGGCATTAATCATTATACCCTGAGCCCATGTTTTCTAGAGGAGCGCAACGTATAAGAACAGGCTTGTAATCGCTTAATTCAGCAAATTTAATCCGCTATCAAGTTTTTAATTATCAAGAACATAAACCATATATTCAAATGAGCTGCACTACACTATCGAGCGTCAAATGTTGTTTAGCTGATAAACAAAACACGAATACAATTATAAAGATAATAAATTATTTTCGATTATTGTTTTCGCATTTATTTTGTTTGGCATTCAATTATTTAAATTTATGCCGCTCAAATGCAGGTATTTGGTTTTCTGGAAGTTTTTGAGAAATATCAAAACAGAAATTAAGCTTTGGGGGTCCAGCTGAAAGGTAGATTTTTTTTTTTTTTTTTTTTTTGCCAGTTTGGACTTGAATTTTCGTAAATTTTTGGAGATGGCCCATAGCGATTTGCCTGAAAAAATATATAGAATTATATTTAGAAGGCTGTTAAAGCCATAAATTTTGGCAACTTCTGAATGCGTCAATGCATTAACTTAGTTCAATTTGTGGCTAAACTAGTAACAGATTTTATGGTGAACATAATTTATATTATTTCGCAGTCTACGAGGGCTACATTATTATTGGCAGGAAAGGTGAACTAAAAATCTTTATTCATTAGGCATTAAGACCTATCTGACTTTCGCCTATATACTTCTACTAATCTAATCAGACAAGCATCATGGTTTGAGCAACAGTGATTTCAATAAAAACGGCATAAGGTTTATTATAAAGATGTATACAGATATTTAAATAGGATAGATGCCTATATATCAATATTTATCTGAACGTTAAATGGAAAAGTTTGGATTACAAATAAAGCATTTCAATCATCATCACAATCAGGCATGCCATCAGAGCTCATATTAAGAGCTCGTGGCAAAATTATCCTATAAAAATATCATAGGCGTACAGTTTCTTGTGAGAGCAGAATCTAATACGCATTTACACATCATCATCCAGAAAGGCAATCTCATGAGCACATTGCAAAAAATAATTTACTAAAGCTAAATGATAATAATGATCCCAGATAGCTTTTCTTAATGAATGTATACAATCAATTGAAACAGACTGTCGGTTTTCATTCCTCCACTTTTTTTTTTTTTATTCCCATGAGTCAACTCCTTCATTTATTTTATTTACATTAATTGTCTAATAATCTAGGGCTTAGCCGCGGAATCCACTTTGTGTGTTGGCATTGGCGTTGGCGTTGGCGTTCGAGTTGGAGCCACCAAAGCCACCAGAGTTACTGCTGGCAGCGGCGTTGGCACTGGCTGAGCTGCTGCCGCCACCACCGAATCCACCGCCTGGACGACCACCGAATCCAGCACCAGGGCCTCCGAATCCACCGCCGAATCCGGGACCACCACCGAATCCGCCGGGACGGCCACCAAATCCACCACCGATTCCAGGGCCTCCGAATCCGCCGGGACGACCACCGAATCCGCCGGGACCACCACCGAATCCGCCGGGACCACCACCGAATCCGGCGGGACCACCACCGAATCCGCCACCGAATCCGGGACCACCACCGAAGCCGCCACCGCGATTACCGCCGAATGATTGCGCATTGGCATTTGCGTTGGCGCTGGCACTTGAGCCACCTCTACCAAATTGAGGGAGGGCCGAAGCAACGGCAACGAGCACGGACAGAGCGATGAACAGTTTCATGATGAGGCTTCGAGCTGAATTCACAAACTTAGCTCAGCAACTGTCGGACGGCAGCTTTTATACATTTCAGTCCAGGGGATATCCCGTGGCCTCAGTTCCAATCAGCCGGCCACAGATAGTGATAGACATAAAGGCAAGAGAAAGAGAGAGAGGTTTTATACACAAATACATAAACAATTTTGATACTTTATTGGTTTTGCGTAACGTCACATTCACAGATTAACAGATTCGGTTTCAGTTTCAGTGTTAACAACAACAACAACAACAACCACAACAAATCCATACGAAATATAGAACAAAAACAACAATCAGCAAATGATCATCAAAACGAATTATAATAGTATTGTCAATTAGCTAGACTATAAACGACTGTGACATGACGCCTATACTCTACGCCCAGCCACCGAGGCACATCAACCGGTTGGCTATCGCCTGTTTCATTAGTCCCTCGAGCAGCTCTTCCACAATATTATTAATACACAAACTTGGGCGTACCCCTCGCACCACGCTGCTCTAGGCTTTTGTTAGCTTGAGCTTTAATAACAAAAATAGCCAAAACAAACAATAATCTCAGTTCTGTTAATATAATCTGATATCTAGTTTTTAATTATCAAAGTATAGAAAATATTCTTGATCACCTTACAGAACAGCTTGAGACTTAAGCTTGTCTGGTTCAATACTAAATCTAAACTGCTATATTTTAAATTTATATTGTACATATATTTTTAATAAACACTGTGTCGACTTAGAATTAGAATTGCATTGCAATATTTCTTCATAAAATACATAGATTATCTAACTATTATATCCTTATTAACTAACTCTTATGAACCAGTTCACTGAACCACTTTACGCAACACTATCGAGCATACAAGATTATCTTTCTTGCCAAACTAAAACACGAATCTATTTATTTTGTTTATTTTTTGCTTCATTTGAATTCTGTTTGTTTCTATTGTGTTTCTTTTCGCTAATTATATTTTAAATTATTTTAATTTATTCTGGCCACATAATGAACTTTTATAATATCTAACCAATATCTTTTTCCTATTAACATTCTATTTATCAGCTACTTTCGAAATTTTATCACTCTAAAAATAAATGTAACATTTCATTGATTTTCTATATACGATATGTGTCTATATATGATATGTGTCTGTGTAGATATATTAGTATTATATAATATGAGTTGACAACTTATAGATAAAATCGTCGTGGCCATACTTTTGGGAGTATGAACTTAATATTATGGCAAAATATTAATATTCGACTCCAAAAAATATGCAATATTTAATATTATGAAATCGTACGGAATATTCCAAAATAATCAATACTTTATCTACTACAACTTTATCTTACCTCATAATACCCGTACTAGGTAACTAGAATGGGAAATTACTATTTCTGAAATAGCATATTATATGCAATTATAATTTTTTAAAGAATGCCAAACATATTTATAAATTTCCTGTATATGTATATATTTATGTACATATACCTGCATAGATAGTAGTAATACTTCGCTTTAGCTCTACTAAAAATCTTTAAAATCCCACTCATTATTTACCTCCGCAGTACCTCATCGCACTGTCGTCTATCTCGACCCCTTTTCAGGTTTGATGAGCATTAGCTGAAACGTAGCTAGAAACTTGTATGTGCGAATATTTTAATTGTTCTGCTCACATATATGCCAAAATTAACGGGCGTTTTATGCAGCTCTTATAGGCTACGATTCGAAATTGATAAATAAAAAATAAAAACAAAAGAAATAAACCAGAAATCTAAACAATCAGCAAAAGTTATACTTCCCAATGACGACACACGAACTATAATTTTGAGACAAGTTTCAGGTATTGCCATAAAACGGAGATATAGAAACTCTATAGATATCCGCACTCTGGTTGTTGAGATGAGCTAATAATCTTGTTTATCATATGTCCAAATCTTTCATATGGAAACTTGATTCCCTTCAACGTAGACCCCAGCACAAAGCCTTAGTATTACTTGTTTATATTTTCAGATTGAATTGAGGTTTTAGCACAAACAACTATTTATTGATTATATACAAAACTTAAGCATATTTAACTAATACATTTATTTGTATGAGTATTAAGCTCCGACTGCTCGAATTCAGCCGCGGAAACGTCCACCGAATGCAGCCGAAGCCGATGCTGATGCAGAAGCCGAGGCAGCACCGCCGAATCCTGCCGATGCACTGGATGAGGCCGAAGCTGCGGCTGAGCCGCCACCACGGAAACCACGTCCACCACCACCCTTGCGATAGCCGCCACCGTATCCACCGAATCCACCGAAACCACGACGACGGAACCCACCACCGAAATAAGGCAGTGCAGCCGCAGCAGCAACCAACAGCACGAGCACAAACAAAATTCTCATTATCGAACTGATCTGAACTTTTAGCCGGTATCAAGTAAACTGATTGACCCATGTCGAGCCCTTCAGCTTATTTATACTTGGAATGTTTAGCGTTTATCATTAAATCGAATCAAGTCGATTGGCCATCATTAATGAGACGCCAAGTTCTCGGCTCTCAGTTCTCAGCATTCTATGCCTTTATTCAAGTAATTAACTGCGCCTGCATCAGCATCATTATAATTGTAGACTGCAGCGAACAGGAATACTCAGCACAGAGTATGCAACTCGAGTTTGCAATGCCCTAGGTCGAAAGAAGAACCGAACTTTGAGGCAATGTACGATGGAAGACTGGAATGCCAAAAATAAAAAATAAAGAAGAAAAAAAAAAAAATAGAAAAATTTAAAAAAAAAGTATATATATATAATTAAACAAAAACAAATAATATAAAATATTATATATATATGTATATAATATAATATTTTTTGTGAAAATAATAAAAATATTGTTGTCTTTTTATTGTTATTATTACTACTGAATTTTTTTATGCCATTTTTTATTGACATTCTAACATATTACTGCTCCATACCCAGTTGGAATACTTAAGCTCACTACAGAGTATTCGCGATATCAATTTGTGCAGTGACTTGTGAAGGTAAGTCCCCGAGCCACTTTTCACTTAGATACGCATGAGTATTTGCAATCGAATGCGGTTTCCACACAAATTCCTAATCACACTTTTAGCAGAATTACAATTTTTGCTATATAATGGTAATTTACATCCGCATCAAATACCAAATATTTGTATTTACTAGATTTTTTTAATGTCGAGTTCATCGACGCAACAATTTTATCCAGGAATGTTGATGAAATTGCCTGAGGGGGTTGAAGATGAGAATTTATCAAAAGGTGGACACTCCCATAACCTTGATCCATCACAGCCCAAAAGAGCGGTAAAGGCAAAGTTCATTATTCAGATATTGAAGTAAATATTTTTGGAATGATAATGATAATAAAAGTTACACTTAGTATAAAAAAGTTTTTCTAATAACACAATAAAATATCGGGAGTAGTTATCGATATATGTAGAGAGAGAGAAAGAGAGAGGAGACCTCTTCTATCTTCTGAGATCGACGCGTTCATACATACGGACGGATGGACGGACGAACAGACAGACGGACAGGGCAAAATCGACTGAGCTTGTCGCCCTGATCAAGAATATATATACTTTGTGGGGTCTGCCACGCCTCCTTCTGACTGTTACATACTTTTAAGAAAACCATTATACCCTGATTTCCCATGTTCAATGGGTTCAGGGTATAATAAATTTTGAATACGATTAATTTTACTATTTTATTTAACATATTTTATTATCAACTAAGTGAATATTTTGTGTCGGTGCACGCGGCACAGACGAAATAGCTTCAGCCACGGAAGCCACCGCCTCCGGCAGAAGAAGATGCGGAGGCAGACGCCGAAGAGGCACCACCACCACGACCACCACCTGAGGCAGAAGAGCTAGCCGAGGCTGACGAAGAGGCTGAGCCGCCGCCACCACCACGATTAAATCCAGGGCCACCAAATCCAGGGCCACCAAATCCAGGTCTACTGCCAAATCCAGGGCCGCCACCAAATCCTGGTCTACCGCCAAATCCAGGGCCGCCAAATCCAGGACCGCCAAATCCAGGGCCGCCAAATCCAGGTCGACCACCAAATGCTGGGCCACCAAATCCAGGTCGGCCTCCAAATCCAAATTGAGGCAGCGCCGCCGCGGCAGCAATGAACAGGGCCAGCACGATGAAGATCTTCATATTGCTCCGAATGCTAGATTGATATATTGTTTACTCTTAGAAGGTGACACTCCAACTAATAGAGCAAGCCAAAGCCACCCAAATTTATACGCTGCGTGAGTGAGTTGGAAGCGATCAAACCACTCGAACTCAAACTCGATCGGTAGGTTTTGAGTGGCAAACGAATTTCGAGTGGAGATGGCGCATCTCGCCCCATTTAACTTTTATTTTGTATATTATTTGACTTTATTTTGAGCAGCGCTTTCAACAGTTTTAACGTCAAAGAAGAACTTTATGATTATGATCAGTTCAGTTGATGATTTCATTAGTCAATAACAAGTTATCAACTTTAGCAGAGCTCAGGCTAAATATATCTAAATAAAGGAGATATGTCTTACCGTTGCAGAAATCATTTGCATATATATTCGATGACTTGATTAAACACAAAAATTGTTCCTTCCCGAAGACTTCAAATCTTGAATATATATTTGTAAGTCCCCTCGTCGTACATATACATATGTCTGGTATATCAGCAACGAATTTTTTTGTTACTTATATAAATTTATTTACGGCCTACCTTAACTTTTAAGACTTTAAATTTTTACAGAATCCTCGATCGATTTTGGATTGTGTGTGAGCATTATGCAATTGAAAAATATAATATTATTAATTAATTTGAGCAATGAACTATGTAGAAGAGGAAAAGGGAATATTCCAAGAGGTATTTAAAACAGATCTTTGTGCAATTAAATGAAGAAATAATAATACGACAAGTTAATCACAAAACAGTGATTAGAATGAATGAAATATATGTATGTACATATAATATGATTTATAGCTATTTGAAATAAAATTAGCTTCAAACTCAATTTACAAAAATTCTCTACTTACTCAAAAAGAGATAGCAGTCATTCCATTTTTTTTAAGAGGCTTATTATTTTTTATTATTTTCGTTAATGTCATCAAAACTGAAAAAAAAAAAACAGTTTTTTCTGTTAACAAATTATAATTTGATTAACCTTTAAAGCTGAGCACCTTAAGCCACCTAGGCTTGCGCCCTGCCAATGGCTTTATTCATTTTATTTCTTGACTCACAATAAGGGTTTTGGTATGAATTATATACGGCTTTTCTGAAAACATTGAAAAGTCAAGAATATGGTTTTCAGTTTGTTGTTTTTTATATTTTTAAGAGTCTTTTTAACATAACTTATAACTAACTTAGCAAACATTTAGTTAACTCAAGGGCTTCAACCAAAGAAGCCACCGCCTCCGGCAGAAGAAGATGCAGAGGCAGATGCCGAAGAGGCACCACCACCACCTGAGGCAGAAGAGCTGGCGGATGCTGACGAAGAGGCTGAGCCGCCACCACCGCCGCCACGTCCGAATCCGGGGCCACCGCCAAATCCAGGGCCACCGCCTATTCCACCAAAGCCAGGACCACCAAATCCAGGGCGGCCTCCAAATCCACCATAGCCGGGACCGAATCCGCCACCAAATCCAGGGCGGCCACCAAATCCACCATATCCACCGCCAAATCCACCATATCCACCGCCAAATCCTGGGCCACCAAATCCAGGACGACCAAATCCGAATTGTGGCAGCGCCGACGCGGCAGCTATCAGCAGGGCAAGTACAATAAGGGTCTTCATATTGTTCGTGTTTTCTTTGCAGGTGACAGTGCGACTGATGGACCACAGCCGAGCCACCCAAATATATATGCTGTAAATGTGAGCTCGAGACGACCGAACTACTAGCACTCCGTCTCGATCGTGCGTGATAAATGAGCTGACGAACGGAGTTCGGACATCTCATGCCATTTACCGGTTTTCTTTGCTATTATTTTTCATTATCAGCTTTTGGCTTCATAATGAGCAGACAGCCATCATGTTCAACATCAAACAAATTCATGATCAGTTTCGTTCGGCTAGCCGGCTTTGAGGTCTGTCACTTGACCGGGTGAGTCCCAGAACAACAACACGCAAGCAACCAAATTATAATACATAATTATGTACAATCGAATTGTTTACGCATTGACTTGATAAATACACTTATCTAAAGTTTGTTTACAAGTCGTTTATTAATGATATTTAGCGGTCAAAAATGATGCTTTGGTCTTCCTGGTTTGAGGAATTCCCCACGCACCTACTATCCTATTTCTTGCTCGCACTCTGGCTCTCTCTGTCCCTCTCTCTCCCTGTCTCTCTCTCTCTCTCTCGCCCTATGTATAGCAAATTCTACTCAAAAGAGCTGTTCATCTTGAAGAGTTTATTCGCCTTTATTTTCAAAGCGGTTTCTATGGCGTCGTTACAAAGCAAATAACAAATAGAAAACAAACGAAATTTCGAGAAAAATCATCTCGCGTTCCGTTCATTTCATATGCGCTAAAAAATATCTAAAAAAAAAAAAAAAAAAAAAAAAAAAAAAAAAAACAGACAATAAATCATGTTTGATCAATACCCTTTCAGATGGGTGTGTTTATATTCTAAGCCTTGAGCCTACCTGAGCCTATTTGAGCTGAATTTTATTATTTAATAAGTATAAGTTCCATCAAGACCTTGCTATACTTTTTATATTGCTGATTTTTTATTGATTTATTTTGTAAGATATATTTAATATTTATATTTATATTTATATATTAATAAATAAAATCATACATATTGATTTACAAACTTATATATTTTGCTAACATATTTATTAACAAATAAATAATACCATATCATCAAAATAATATAAATTTCATTTGATATCTAATTTTATGTTGATTCGTAATAAAGTTTCGTTGCTTTGCTTTCAGTAACCTCCAGTGCCATCTGCGATTTATCGTATTATTTTTGTTATTCGCCAAATGCGGCCTACAACTTACTAATGATAAATTATAATACATAGATTAGCAATGGGCGTCACAGACTTATTTGCATTTCGCGGCCATATTTCTATTTCACAACAGACTTTACAAAATGTGAATACCCTTAATATTATGATTTTAATTTTATTTTACGAACATAAAGTTTTCAAAATCTAACAGCCATAAAAACTTTGAATGTGTAAATTGTGGAGCCTATTTTATATGCATGAGACAGATAGAAGAGGGCGTGTGCAGCCTTTTGAAGTATACTAATAATATTCAACTGAATCAATAAATATGTAGATAAACAGGTTGATCTAGACTAATCTTTATAAAAATCGAATACAAATAAATTATAATAAAGAATAAAAGATAAAGAAAATTAATCAATTTCACCAAAATAGATAGAAATATATGTATATAAAATAAAAAAAAGGGGTAAAAAGAAATGTGAATGATTCTCTTATTGGAACTTTTACTCAACTATCTGCTACGTTTAAAGCATTCCCATTTAGCTCGTAAATATTATTTACCAAATCATATACAATCTAAGCTTAAGTATTATAACTTTAAATAAATATCAATGAGATATGACTCTTCACTTGAACGTATTATTCCTCTCCCGTTATTAACAATGAGTATTAGCAAAAACTAGTTCCAGCTGTGTGTAAAGATCCATTCATAGCCAAGTAACGGGGAATATTACTACTTGAGCACCCATAATATATAGTATAGTGTAGTATGTATTTGTAGTATGCAAATAGAAGAATTATGATGATCACTTTCAGAGATTTGCAATCACAGCTGCTGGTATAGTATTTAACAATCAAACGAAGGTGCTAATGAAGAGGGAAAACACAAAAAATTATAATAACCTATGATAGTCGATCATATGGGGTATACAAGGCACATGGAAGATGAGAATAATCAGCAGAATAATATATAAATAAATAATCATATACAATATTGAATTCAAAGTTAAATTGCCTGGTAAATTAACTGTAAATATCGGTGAATAACATTATGGGAGAGAATATAATCTGTAGAGTCTTGCAAATGAAAGTAAAATGAAAAATAAATGTAGGCAAATATTAGGGTTGTTAACCTTTGTATTGCTTTTTTTTGTTACTTTTTTAAGTAGAGGGTACAGCAACGTGCCATACTTTAACTTACAAAAACATAATAAAAAATACTTAATATACAATTGTTAATTAACAAACATCATCTTTCTAGTATACTCTCTCTCTTTCTCTCTCTCTCTCTCTCAATATATATATATCTATATATATATATATAAAATATATATATACTCGATGGCGAAACCAGTTTCAATGTCGTCATTTGAGAGATCACACGTGAACAAACTCGTATCAAGTTCTAATGATAATATGATGCTATACGACTCATCGTTTCAGGGGTTTTCCGGCTGGTGAAAAGTTTTTGTGATTTTTTGCATTTGGTCAACTAGTTGTTAAAATCAATACTAATTCAATAAACATATGCACGGGCAATTAGCACCAAAACTTCGGGGAAGTCCGCCAGCCCCTTTCCAAATCGCCCACCAGCGTCATAAAACCGAGCGATATAACAAATGATCTCAATTTAAATGTTTATTCAAGCAGCTTTAACCCAAAATGTAATCAAAGCTTTAACTAATTTCTTTTCTCTACTTTCATATTTGTCTCAGCCCGAATTCATTTATTCATGCAATACGGCGCCCAAACAAACAAACGAAAAAAAAACCTATGTCAGAGCTCCACTTAAAAGTCTCACACAAAACCGGTTTTCAATATATTTCTTCTTCTATCATTTATTTTTGCATTATTCATTTTTGCAAACTAATGTCAGTATTTTTTCGTTTTTATTATTTATATAAGCGTGTAGCAGTTTATTGTGAATTTGCTTTTTTTCTCTCTCTGTCTCTCTCTCTCTCTGTACCTCTTTCGCTGCTTTTGTTGACTTATTGGTTGCTTATATGATTTATTGTGCATGAAAGAAAAAAAAAAACAAATAGAAAATAAATATGTTTGCCCATGATTTTACAATTAACTTAGCAAGTTGCTAATTACGTGGATCAAACTAGCTTATTCGTAAAAAAAAACTCGACTAAAAACAGTGAGCGTAATTAATTAGGTGCATATTATGTTTGTCTATTTTAATCACTTCATATTTAATTACATTTATTAATTATTTTTGGTTTGTGCGTGATGTGTGTAAAGCGCGTTATTGATTCTAGTTTTTAGTTGTGAGCGCAATAAAAGCATGGCTTACACCGACCAACAAGGCTTGGCAACACAATTATATAAACTTTTTAAATAAAATACGAAGATGAAAACCGGACGACCAAAAACAAATGCTTATTTATTTATTTTTTTTTTTTTATAATTTTTTTTTTTTCTAAAGAGCAGACTTTTTAGATAATTAAAAGGTATGTTAAAAAAAAAATAATTGTTTTTTGCTGTTAAAGGGAAAAAACTACTTATTTGCAGCTTTGGGCTAAATTATCTACAAAGTCTTAGTTTAATAGCACATAGCTTCATAGAGTTAAGCATTGAACAAAATAACAAGTTTTTAACATGTTTTATTTGTATTAGAGTCAGATTTAAATAAATTGAAATCGTTAAATTCTAACAAATCAATTTCTATTGTATAAAATATTGTGTTTAAGTAAAAAATAATATTTTGTCCTGTACTCTTAAATTTAAAAAATTTAAAACACAAGACTTTTGTATAATAAAAATAAAAAATAACTAAATCGGAAACAATTTTGCTGGCATGTGTAATTACAGGCTCAAAAATATTGCGTAAATAAATAATAATTTATTATTTAAAGTAATCTGTGCTACCTTAGAAATTCACGTTATGGCGCTAGCAAAAATAGTTTTTTGATTGTTTGGCTCCCAAGGGCATATAATTTTTAGATTATATAGATATGCTTGAACAAATGTACTTACATCAATGAAAGCAGCTTTAGATGCAAATCCTGACTAGTCATTTTGTTACGTACTTAAAGAAAAAAAAAAATATATATATATCTTATTTAACACGTTGACTAGCAAAGAATTTTGTAAATTTTGATTAATTGAATGATGTAAAATTATAAAATGCGAAATGTGTCATTCTCAAGGTTCTATCTCTTAAATTGGTTGATTAATTTTATAATCTAAATCTATATTTTTTTAAATAAATTCTACATATTTGTTGTTGCTCCAATTTAGCAGGTCATTTGTTGAAGGTTTTTATAATATATTTATAAATATTATCCAACAAAAATCATCTTTTATTATGTGTTAATTTTTTTCAAATCTACAAATATAATTCACGCACAGAGTTTATATTGTTCATATCAACTGCTGCACACATAATTAATAAATATGAAATTTAAAGCGTAGTTGTAGTTAATTTAAAGCTTGTAAACGCGCGATATCATAATGAACTGCATTTAATTGAAAATATTTTGTTATTAAATGCAATCAACTTCAAATAATTTATCGCTGTAATTTTATCGCATTAGCCGTCAAGGCAACCGCCAGGCGCCAAACTAGGTAAAGTTGCGTTGATTATGCAAACTGAACAACGGCGGCCGAAAAATCCAAAAATATCCACAAATCCGTGCATTGCCATGGCAAATGGCAAACCTCTGCACTCGATGCCAATATTAAGGGCCAAAATGCATTTGCCGCACTCAATGCTTATACTGTTATTGCCATTTACGAGTATATCTCTCCCTCCCGCACTCCCACACTCGTTACCAAATTGAATTGGCCGCCTAGCTGGCGAACTTTTCAATTATGCACCGTTTCGGTTAATGGGCAAATCGACATCAAACGACAAATGCGCTATGCGATATACATTTTGAATTATTTAATTTTAATTAAAATTCCCATATCCAGCACATGGATATTGCAACGAAACCCCCATTGCATACCTTAAGGCGCGGCAAAAATAATTATGAGAGTATTCCGCAAATGAGTTACTATTCGAATTTGTTTTCAGATACACAATAACTGAAAGCAATATAATTCATTAAAAAGCTTTCTTAAATAAACATTTTAATAATTAAAAAAATATAATAATAATAATCAATAATTATGAAACCTTAAATATTATAAACATATAAATTTACTATATTCATACATAAACAATATTTGATATAAAATGTAATATTCAGGTAATTGGAATACATATTTATTTATTTACAAAAAATAATAATAATAATTATAATAATAATTATAATAAAATTGTTATTGAGAATTATTTCTGTTTTATTGTGTCAAATATAAATTTTAAAAATAATTATTTTTTTATGCGAACCCTGAATAAACCATATATATTTTCATAATTTTCTATTTGTGTAAACTTTCCTAAATAACTTTTTCATTGTAGTAGAAGCTTATATATAATTTTTCAGCATTTTAGTGAGCACAGAATGACATATAGAGAGACAAAGCGAGAGTGTGTGTGTGAGAAAGAGAGAGAATAGGAAAGTGTGATACTTCATTTGGAGCATACTTTTTAGCTTTCAATTAAACTTTGTTAATTGTGGGAATCAATTTATTAACTTAATTTATGCTCCAAAAAGACATCTATATAATCAAAACTCTTTATAACTTCTCATTTAGAAATCGATGACCATATGAGAGCATAAGAACAAAAATATTGTGATAAACTGATTTTGGAAGCTATAGCACCGCACCAATTATGATCAACTGCTGCCAAAATATAGCTCCTACAAATGGGATTACACTTCTATCATCCTCATCACCTTGAAGGAATTATCCGCAAAGAGACAAATTCAAACTTTGACCAACGCAAAGTTTCAGTAAAATTGCAAATGTACGAACTTGTAGATTAAAAGAGAAAAAAAAAAAAAACTTTAGCAAAGATAGGAAGTATTTCGCACATGTATTTACATTTATTTTATTACCTAACATAAATTGTGGCAAACAAAGGAACGCAATATTGTCAATTCGACAACGAGGCAGAGTCCAACGGCAATTGTTGCCATCATGCGAATGGCAACAGCAACAGCAACTGCAACAGCAACAGCATCAACTTGCAACACAAAGCGGTAGCAGCAGCAACAGCCGACTATGTGGCAAGCCGCCAGCAACAGGAGCAGCAGGAGTTGTTGGCCTAGCCCTGGGTGAGCTCATGTTCGACTCGGCTCCTGCTGTTGTCTTCCTGCCACCGCGTGCACTTCCGCTTTATGCTGTAAAGTGCACCACAGGGGTTCATTGTCCTTGTGCAAATTGGTCTGAGTTTATTGCCAATGGCTGTTCGCAGCAGACGTTGTCCGACCCAACAGCTGCTCCTGGCCAATTCTCTCTCTCTCTCTCTATCTCTTTGTAAATGGGATGCGCTGCCGTCTGGACTGGCGTTGAGCAATAAAACTGCACTTTGAGGCTGCACAAAGTTTGCTTAAGATTTCAATTTGTTGCTGGAAGCTGCCGACGCCGCATTGTGTGCAACAATTTGCAATAGTAAAATTGCCCCCATCTGCGTTGTAACTTTGGCCCCAAATGATAAATGCCTGCTAAATGCCACAGACTGCAATCGCTACCACGATTTATATGGCCCACGATGTTATCAATGTCTTCAGCTCTTTAAACAACGCGCGCAGCTCTCAAATAGGCCCATTAATTTGGACTAAACTTTGCCAACTTCAATTACAGCCAACGAAATTTCGACAAAACTAACAGAGCACTTGGAAAATATACACTGAAAAAATGGGAATAATCAAAAATAACTTTTGAATATAAATATATAAAAATATTTATTGATCTATATATTTATTTATTGCTCTAGATATTTATAAGCTCTATGTATTCTCAAATTTTTACAACTACATATATTTGATATATTTGCTATATTTTCTCTCAGTGCATGCATTACCCTTCTAACTTTGCATGCATCGAGCTACATGTGAGAAGCGTTTTGCATAAGCACTCGGCTTTCCTTCAAGGACAACACGTGACTTTCCAACTGTAATGGAAACTTTTCACTTTTAGCCAAACTTATGAAATATTATCGCTCGAAGTGTCTGGCGTCGAGGGATAAGTTTAAGTATACTGCCACCTGGCACAAGTTTACGACAGAATACTCTGAGTGCTCGGCTAATGAAATTAGCCGTCTCTGTATGACAAAGCAAGCAACTGCGACATTCTCCATCCAGCAAATGCGAAATGCTCAAATAATGATATGCCTCAACCGAATTGCATAAACCGGGTTTAATAATTAACACAATTGCCCCTAACTGGCGGCTAATTGTGGTATAGACGGGCATGACCTAAGTGCAAGCTCTAGACATTGATATACCCTTTGAAGTGCTAGAGATAGCATATGCGTTTTGCACTTTAAATGTTTTCCAATTAACTTATTAAATAATTAGAGATCTGATCTATAATATAGATTAAAACCCGTGCATAACAAATCTTTTATAGATATGAGAGACAGGCAGATTTGTTATGTAATTTTATAAACTGTTTCAGCAAAAAAATAAAATATGTTTTTTTTTTTTTATATAAAAACTGATTTATTTGAAAATCTCATTTGAGGTCTCTTATTTACTTGAAATACTCATTTGCTTTGTAATTAGCTTGGCGAACTGAGAAGTTAAATTAACTTAACTAACGGCCGTAGCCACCTGCAGAGGCTGAGGCAGATGCTGATGCAGAGGAGCTAGCACCAGACTTACCACCACTGTAGCCACCGCCGAGTCCTCCGTGCTTGCCACCACCTCCGTAGCCGCCACCACCAAAGCCGCCGCCGAACTTGCCGCCACCGAACTTGCCTCCAAGTCCAAGAGCGCCGCCACCGAATGGTCCACCGGAGAAACCACCGCCTCCATGGCCGCCATGACCACCGCCAAAGCCGCCATGACCACCGCCAATGCCGCCATGACCACCGCCAATGCCGCCATTACCACCGCCAATGGCGCCTCCACTGGCGCCGGAACCAGCTGATGCACCTGCACTACCGCCTCCAATGCCACCACCGAAGCCGGGTCCTCCGCCTCCATGGGCACCACCTCCAATGCCGCTGCCCGCAGATCCACCAGCGTAGCCACCGCCTCCAAGGCTAACACCGCCGCCTAGGCCACCGCCAAGACCACCACCAAGGCCGCCACCGGCTCCATGGCCGCCACTACCGAAACCAGCGCCTCCATGACCAGCTCCTGCTGATCCACTTGCTGATCCACCGGCAAAGCCACCGCTTCCTTGGCCGCCACTGCCGAAACCGCCTCCTCCAAGGCCACCACTGCCTCCATGGCCGCCACTGCCGAAACCGCCTCCTCCAAGGCCACCACCGCCTCCATGGCCGCCACTGCCGAAACCGCTTCCTCCGAGACCACCACCGCCTGCATGACCACCTCCTGCTGATCCGCCTGCTGATCCACCGGCGAAGCCACCGCCACCATAGCCGCCACTGCCAAAACCGCCTCCTCCAAGGCCACCACCGCCTCCATGGCCACCGCTGCCGAAACCGCTTCCTCCGAGACCACCACCGCCTCCATGGCCACCACCTGCTGATCCACCACCGAATCCACCGCTACCGCCATGACCGCCACCTAGTCCGCCGCCTCCTCCGCCGGCACCAAATCCAGGTCCACCGCCTCCATGTCCACCAGCGCTTGTACTGGAGCCAGCTGAAGAAGAGGCGCCACCGCCAGCGCCAGCGCCGCCATAGCCGCCGCCGCCGCCACCACCAAATGGACCACCTCCAGCTCCAGCTCCTAGACCCAGTCCAAGACCTGCACCACCGTGCTTGCCACCGCCAAGTCCCAGGCCGCCGCCTAGTCCTAGTCCAAGACCTGCACCACCTAGGTCCAAGCCGCCGCCTCCACCGCCACCGCCGCCAAATTTGCCGCCCGCACCGGCGCTGGAGCTAGCCGACGCAGATGCTGTAGATGAGGCACCACCATCACCGCCTCCATAACCAGCGGAGGCCAACGCAACGCAAACACTGAGCACAATAAACAATCTCATCGGAGCTTCTGACAAACACCAACTGACTTCGGCTCCTAGAAAACACTCAGCTTTTATAAGAACGTCGAGGCATTGCGAAAATACAATTTACAACAAAATGCAAAAAACCCAAAAATAAAAACAAAAACAAAATGAAATGAAAATAAAAAATAAAAAAAATACTATAAAATATAATCGAAGCAACAAGCAAATGCAAAACTCTAGTCACGTTCTGAACACCGGGATCGATGCCGGGTCAGACGGTGCAAAACTTTGATAATTAACCAACACACAGGGAGAAAGAGAGAGAGGAAAGTGAGTGTGAGAGAGTGAAATACATCAATAATATCGAGCCATAAACAATAATAAGACATTTATTATCATTTAAATAATATATTCCTCATTGTCTACGACCCTCTCGATGTATAACGTAATCATCGACCGATCGAGCAGATCTTCAAACAAAATTCAGAAAATCCAGAATCGAGATTAATCGAATTTCTTGATAATGTAAGAAAAACTATTTATAAAATATTACAATTAGGTTTTGGTAAACCAAGTCAGAGTAAAACTCTTTTATTTAGCAACTTTTATAGATAAAATGTATATTTAAACCTATCCAATCCACTGCAGTTTGAAATCTAAAGACAAACAATATGATTATAAATCGTTCAATGTATCCATATATATCTTTCTATAGGCAACACTAACTTATATCTCTATCAAATATATTTGCAGATTTCTCTAATTTATTTTATTATTCCAGTCATCCAGTATCTCATAATCAATGTATATCGTATTATATATTCAACACTCACTTCAATCTTCAATCAATGCCTCGAATTGCATTATGACAAGTCTGGAAAATACAGATATAAAAATGATTCAGATATTCCCGACACTTCAATTTCAATATTCTTTCGTCATATACCATTTAATATATGCTACGCTCAGAGCATTCGTTATTCGTTGATTCTCAATATTTGTTTTCTTTCTTGTTCTCATAGTAATTTGTTTACATAAATCAAGCTTGCGACGTCATTAAGATCGGAAATAGCAGCGCCAAACAAGATTAGAATACGAATTTAACGGCACTAAGTACGGAGGGATGATTATGAAAGTAACTGACCCTAAGGTGTATTTAGACTGACGAGCGAGGCAGATTAAGAAGCTATTAGCTACGATTTTAATCAGGTAAATATGAGTATTAACTAGACTTTACGATTGATTTTCCAAAGAAATGAGAATTGCTGGGTTTTTGACTAGTCTGAGTTATTTACTAGATATAGATTTAATTATGATTATTTTTTTATTATTATAAAACTCCGTTATTATAAAAAAAATGTAAATAATGTAAAAATAAAAATAAAAATAAAAATAACTTTAAAAATACTGTGTATATTCTCCCATTCTGTTGTCTCTCTTCCTCTCTACTCCACAATTGGGTTCGCAATGAAATTAATTTATTTATCATTTTCTACATATTTTACAATGAGAAAATCCCATTTTAGATAAGACAATGACGCTGGAAGCTAGTTTTTTTTTTCCAAATCCCACGACTTAGACTGTGCATTGATCAAAAATAAATGAATTTAACAAACACGTTATTCATGACGTCCGTAAGTGATATCTGCCCTATAGATCACTTATACCAGTCATGCAAGTAACTAATCCCCTTATTATTATTCAAGAATAATGCTTCAGGACACAGTACGTTTTTTCCAGAGCTTTTCATATCTCATAAAGAAGACAACAATAATAAATAAAGTCAATGCATTAGTAATGTATGATCCTATCAGGCAGTCATCCAAATAGCCAGTCTCCCATATATGCAATCTCCACTCTGCTTGATATTTATGTGATCAAAAATGAATGCAATCTTTTATATACCTCTAACCTATACTGAACTTTTTTTTTTTTTTATTCACTAAGAACTAAATTCCAGTAGCAGAGTACATTTTGGTGTTGAGGAAAATACAGTTTTCACGCCTTAAACACAGCTTTTCACTTATTTTGGATGGCCGGGTGAACTGAAATGCAAATGTCAAGAGTTGCTTGGCCTGAAAGCGTAAGCAGCTCCGAGAGAGAAGTCACTCACCAGACAACAAGAGCAACACGAACCGCAGCAGCAGCAGCTGTTGAGAAAATGGCATGTGCATAGGAAAATAGAAAATTTCCTCAAGGAAATCTGCTTAGAAATGCATGTACTTGTTGTTGCCACGGCTGTTGCTGTTGCTTGGTTTCTTGGAAAATCTGCTACAGCTTTGTGGGCCAAGTCATTGTCAGCTGAAAGAAACAACTTTTGACTTCCGTTTCCGGTCGAGTCGGAGCTGCTGCATATTTAAAAACGCACAGTTTTATGCAAATATCTATTCCATATTTAAAGCTACACAACAAAGGCAAAATAAATAAATAAATATTACATATTAGATATGCTGCTGGACGAGCACTGAACATCACTTGGCATGTAGGCCAATTGCACGCCCTCGTATCCTCAGGCCCTTGACCTCGCCCTCCACATCCCTGGCCGCCGGCTGGGCCGTTGGTAGCGGCTGCTTGCCCAGCACTTGCAGCATGCGGTCGTAGACCAGCCTGCGTACATCCACAGCCCAGAGGAAGTCCATGTGGTTGAACTCCTTGAGCGGCACCAAATATTTGCCAGTCACATTGCCCAAGTCCTCGCACATGGCCTCCACGTCGTGCGGATGACACAGCAAATCGTTGCTTGAATAATAAACAAAAGTCGGCACCGTCACCAGGCTCAGATTGTAGCGCGGCGGCAAGTGCTCCCTATACAGTGCCATGTTCTTGTTCGAACTGTAGCTGTACGGTGCGAATCTGCCGCTCTTGATGATTTGTATAAAGTGCTTGACCTGCTTGGCGGCCACGCCTGCCGGATAGTGGCCCAAAACAACGGGAAACATTTTCTAAAATTACAAAAAAAACACTTGAAGTGCCAGGAAATTGGCTTTACAACTACCACTAGAACTTACCCTGTTGAACTCGTTCCAATTGCGTCCCACAATGCCAAAGACAGCCTCGATGCAAAGGCGTTCCGTTTCCTCGGTCATGCGACAAAGAAAGCGAAATTCACCATTGAACATTTCGGTTATGGAGCTGCCTACCAGGGTCTGAGGAATGGGGAGGGTATGGGGAAGAATATGCGGAATTCAAGGAACGTATGGCATATAAAGAGTGTAAGAAATATACAGATGATTAGGGAAATATGGAATATAATACGTAGTATAGGAATATAAGGAATATATGGAATATTGGAATTATATGGAATATAAGGAATAGTACGAATGGAATGGAATATAAGAAATATGAAAAATATACGGATATTTGCAAACAACACTCAAAATGCCCTATAGTTGACGAACCCTAAAATCAACTCTTAAACTTAGTTTTTTAGCATTCCTATCTACGTATATTATGTTATCTATAGTATTACTCTTCCTACCTTTGTATATTATATCATATATAGTATTACCCTTCCTACCTTTGTATATTATATCATATATAGTATTACCCTTCCTACCTTTGTATATTATATCATATATAGTATTACCCTTCCTACCTTTGTATATTATATCATATATAGTTATTACCTCTGTTATTATATATTATCTCTGTCATATACTCACATTGAAATACAGGCTGATGGCACGTATATAGGGATGATCTTCGGTTTCTTTGGCATAGACAGCCGGCGCCATGGCCTGCATGGAGATGACCTTCCCGTTGTAGGCCGGTCGCATCGAGCACATGACAAAGAAAGCCGTGCAGCCCTGGGAATGTCCGGCGTATTGCAGCTTCTTATAGCCGGTTAACTTAAGCACATAATCGATCATGGCCGGCAGATCGTACATGCCTATTTCATGCCAGCTGAAGTCCCAGAACTTCGAGGCATCGGGATCGAGTGTGGTGTGATTTCTCGAGTAGCGATTGCCGCGCGCATTGCCCAGCCAAACATCATAGTTGTGGTCGGCCAGCAAGTAGCCTGGAGCGAAAGTACTCGTAATCACATGGCCATCATTCATTAATCATAGCGGCGACACTCACCCAGACTCACATTGGGGCCCATCACAACGAAGCCCGCCGAGCTGTCGACGAGTCCGTGCTGCAGCAGAAAGGGCTGGGCGCCCGTTTTCCGTATGCGATGCATTGTTAGAATGTAGCCATCCTCTGTGGTCACATGATGCACTTCCGCCTGGTAGCCGTATTTGGCAATTAATTTATCCTGTTGATGAAATGTGTAAATTGTCGTTGCAGTTGATGGGCGAGCTGGCTCGGGTCATTAATCTTCGTACCACAGTTAGGTTGGAGTCCTGCTTGATGTTTTTGCGCTGTAATTTCTCTTCGGGTGTCTCATCCTCGACACTCTCCTCCTCCTCCTCCTCATCTTCCTCCTCCTCCTCGTCCTCCTCGCCGCCAATCAGCTGCGCCTGCGCTCTGCCAATCAGCAAACACAAGCCGAGCGCCAGCAATAAGCGACGTTGCATTATGATGGATGAATGGTACCTTCACTCCAATTGAACCGATCAGCATAAAGAGAAATTGGGTCTTTCAATTTCGTATACTTTGTTTTTTTTTTTTTTTTTTTCGTATACTTTGTTTGCTTGGGCTCTTTACTTGTTGGTCAACTTGAGCGCTGCGCGTCCCGGCCTCAACTGAAACTGAAACTGAAACTGAAACCAAAAATCCGGCGACGCGTTTACAAAGAATGCCGAAAAAACTTTCGATCGCCAGCAACAACAATCAATGCATTGACAACAACGACAACAACAATGATAATAACAAAATGCGTTATGACGTGTTTTTGATTTTGTTTGGTTTTACCTCTTTGATTTCAAAGTATACCCTGTACTTTTGAGCTAACTGAAGCCGACTATGATTCAATATTTGTGAACAAGTGTGAAGAGGTGTCTTCTGATTGAGTAATACTATATGCTTAATGAGAGATTATTATGGTAATTAATTATTCATACCACAAAGCGACAATACAGCATATAATAATGACAACATTGTTTTTTAAACTAAAAATAGTAAA